GCAGCAGTAGCGAAGGAATCGCTCGATCAGATTCAGTTAACAGCCATCGATCGATCGCTCGGGTTCAGTAACGCGTAGCCTGCAGTGCAATCGCTCGGGTTCAGTTAGAGCCCAACGCCCCGCTCGGGTTCAGTTAGAGCCAACGCCTCGCACACACACGCGTACGTGTACGAGAGAAACGCGCATCGCTCGGCCCCCGACCTCCCACCGTAACCGGGAACTCCCCAAAATTTTCCTCGCCCTCGCTTCTACCACGATTTTTTCCGTCATGGACGGTCCAAAGAATGTCATGCAGCTGCGTCTCCGGCCCGCCCAGGACAAAAAGCCCATTTTTTGTCATGATTTTTTGTCATAGAAGTAGGAGCCCACCACATCTATGATGATACCGGGTTTTGTCACAATTATCGTCATAGAAGTGTCATATGTATGACAGAAAAAAAAATCGTTCAGCCCAAAATGTCACAGATGTGTCTTTTTTTTGTAGTGAAGAGTCCTCCTCCTGGCTAAATTTGGTAAGCTTGAGGACATTAATCATATCAAACCACTGAAGCATGAGTTCATCAAACAGGTTCTTCTAAAGGTACATTTGAGCTCCTGCCCATCCCATAAATCTGAGATGGTTCTATTCTTCTCATTAACTAGGATATACATATCCCAAAACTAGGTAGCTAGAGGGGCATTCCCATACCAGGTATCCTCCTAGAACCTTACTAGTCTAACATTGCCAACATGCCACTTGTAACCCACCCTAACAGCTTGTAAAGCCCAAAGGAAACTTTTCCAAAACTGGGAGGGGTGATAGCCATGACAACAAAGAATATTTGGGTTTCTAGTATTATACTTAGTATCAACTATCTTCCTCGACAAGGAAACTTCCCCAGCTACATATCTTGTAACCCAAGCTCCTATAAGGCAAACATTCATATCTTGCAAGTTTAACACACCCATCCCACCAAACTCCTTTTCATGCAGATGGATGTCTAGTTGGCAAGATGCAACTTGTGAGCACCTTCACTATCACTCCACATGTAGTTAGCCATGTGTGAGTTGATCAACTTCAGACCTCACTTGAGAAACTTGAAAAAGGACATTAAATACAAAGGAATACTAGCTAGGCAAGATTTGATCAAGGTGATTTTGCCTAAGTAGGAGAGGAGCTTACCTCTCCACCCAACAATACTTGCCAAAATCTTATCTATAAGGACTTGGAGATCCTCCCTACTTAATTTCTCAAAATGGAGTGGGATCCCTAAACATTTAATGGGGAAATCCCCAACTACACACTAAAAGATATCTACAAATTCTTTCAATTCCCCAACTTCCACATTAATTGGAACCAATGCACTCTTGTGGTAGTTAATCCTCATACCAGAGACTTGTTCAAAACAAGTCAGAATCCACTTTAGGTTCAGTGCTATTCTACTGTTTTTCTCAAGGAACAACAATGTGTCATCAACACATTGCAAACACATCACTCCACCAGGAACTAACTTAGGGGAGAGCCCTTGAACCAGCCCAACATGAGAACCTTTAACTAGCATCCTAGGTAAAACATCCACCGCCATATTGAAAAGTAGAGGGGCTACAGGGTCCCCCTGCCTCAATCCTTTTCCAGTGAGGAAGAAATCACTCTCCTCACCATTTAGCTTAACTCCGACAAAGCCACCCTGTGTGATATTTCTAATCCATCCTATCCACTTGGATCCAAACCCTCTAATAGCTAGGAACTCATATATGAAATCTAGATTAACCTTATCATAAGCTTTCTAATAATCAATCTTAAAGACAAGCCCCTGTCTGCCAGAGGAATGCACAACATGTACAATCTCATGGATAGTTACAACACTCTCTAGTATAAATCTACCCCTTACAAAGGCACACTGGAAGCCTGAAATCAGTCTCCCCATGATTACAGCCAACCTGTTAGTCAAGACTTTTTGTGAAAATCTTAAAGCAACAATTAAGCAAACTAATAGGCCTAAACTTATTTATTGTTTTTTGCTTCATTCTCTTTGGGGATCAAGGTAATCATAGCAAAGTTAAGTCTAAACAAACCAAGATCACCCTCAAACTAGGCATTACACATTCTAATCAAATCTCCCTTCACCACATCCCGAAAAACTTGATAAAACATAAAAGGGATCCCATCAGGCCCAGGTGCCCCATTAGAGTAAGATCCACAAACAACAACTATAATCTCTTCTTCAGAAAAGGAAGCTTCAAGTTTTGCATTTTACTCTATGGTCACCATTTCAAAGGCATTATAGAAGTCCTCTTGGAGATTTATGTTTGGTCTAGGTTCCCAACTAAACAACTTATGTTAGTAATCTATTGCTATTTTCTGCATCCCTTTATTATCACTAAGTGGACCATCATCACCTTCCAGAACATGAATAACTTTTTCCCTCATTTGGTTAGCCATAGCGTGAAAATAAACTTTGTTCCTATCCCCTTCCAAGATGTCTCTATCTTTAGATCTTTGCCTAGCTTTAATTTCCTCTACCTCCTAGACCTCATGTAACTCTTTAAGGATGTCATCCATCCTTATTCTATCACTATCAGATAAGTCTCCACTCTCAGCTTTCACGTCTAAGCTATCATACTCAGCCATAGCTCTTTCTTATCTCTTCTAAGGGCTACTCCAGCCTCTGGCTAGTTTTTGAAATGTCCTCACCTTGTGATGCCAGATATCCACAGGGTTACTGCTATTACACCTGCTAGTCCAGGCTTTTACTACTAAATCTTTAAAATCAGGCCTGGTAACCCAGCATTTCTTAAATTTAAAATTGCTACTTTTTGACCTGTGGTCAACACCAGAGTCCCACACCACAGGAGTGTGATTACTCCCCACATAGGCAGCACCCTAGCACTTGCCAAAGGAGCATCTACAACCATAACCCTCAATTCCCCATAAATATGCCACTACTGCTATCTTGACCATGTACCACTGCCGATGGCAAGGGGTAGGGCAAGGCTAAGCGGTGAATCTTCTCATGTCCGAGTTAAATTTATTTTTAGTACAGTTTTAGTAGAATACGGTGATGAATTGTGGTCCCTTTTGGTTGTCCGATGCAATATGCTGAAATTTTAACGTATGCTTTGTATGGATTTGTTTTTACGTGATCAACATTGCATGAATTTGCATGGATATGGGGGTAAGAAATGAGGGGATGGTTGTAAACAACGAACATAAGAGGGGTGAACTCAAATTGTCTGTGGACATAGAAAGGGCTAAATTAGGCAAATGTGGTTGTAAATGCCCTTATCGTTTTTTCATAGTGTGTCTTATCAGAAAGTATTCCAAGCCTCCAACCCAAGAGGACCGAACTGTTTTGGATGATAAACTAATCTTGACGTAGTTATTTTACGAGGATCTTTACAGCATATGGAGTACGGTAGCACCATTTATATGTGTTGCGCTGCCATTACACTCTTGAGATGAGGCTGCTACTTTATTCTCCGACCCTTGTCATCAAGAAGACCAAGGCCAGGCAAAGCAATCCCAAGAACCCCCCCTGGATCATGTTCTTTCCCATCATTTCAGTAAAATCGACCCTGCAGGCGCATGTTTTATGCATGCTGAATGACCAGGCAACGCTGAGCAATCAGTCAAGTTCTGAATTATGCAACTGCACATCGCGCTGCACGGGACAGGATTGCCAACATTCTCCTCAACTCAAGTAACCTGGCAATCTAACATGTGTACAGGTTTCAGTCCGATGCATCAGCCACGGCCAAGAAACGAAGGCACTGAAAACGGCGTGCCACTGCGGTCCAGCAGATACAACATGCTTGTTCATCAGCACGGAGGGAGAAACCTAATGCTCCCCAGTCGCTATGACACACTAGTAGTAGAAAGGAGCAACCCAATCCCAGCCCGAAGATACTACACTATTACTAGCCTAGCTTCTGGGTGATGACCCCCTGGATGGAGCCGACGAGCGCGAAGGCGCTGACGAGCAGGCAGACGGTGCTGAAGCCCTGGAGGACGAGCCACCGGGTGGACCAGCGGGGCACCTTCCGCTGGATGAAGTACATCTCCACGGGGAAGTAGATGGCCAGCGGCCAGAAGTTGAGCGCGCCCAGCAGCGCCAGGATCTCGTTGAAGTAGGGGAAGAAGATGGCCACGGCCGTCGTGCTCGCCACGTACGCCGTCCGGAAGCACACCCGCAGCAGGTTCACCCTGTAGGCCGGCAGCAGCGGCACCTTCACCGTGTGGAAGTCGTTCACGAACCCGCTCCCCGGGTACCGCTCCGCGAAGTGCCTGTCCGCGAACTGGTAGATCGGCTGGCTGTACACCTGCTCACATTTTGTTTTGCTTCGTATCAGTTCAGAGCTCTGCATTCTGTAATAAAATCGCTCTGCAGAGTTTCAGGGTTTTTGACTTTTGGGCAGTAGTACCTGGTAGCCGCCGAGCAGGTGGAGGATGATGCAGGCGTTGGCGAAGTCGATGAGCCAGTAGGGCTCGTAGAAGCCGAAGCCGGTGAGGAGGTTCCCCGGCGCGTCGTTCCCGAAGGCGGCGTAGCCGAAGCAGCCGCAGCAGAGGTAGAAGAAGGTGGTGACCAGGATGGAGATGATGGACGCCTTCTTCATCGTCTTGTTCTCGGCCGGTGGCGACTTGAGGGTGTCCTACAGTGTGTATTGGCACATGCACGAGCGAAACAAAACAACGTGTCATCCTGCTCAGTGGTTTACTGACAGTACTACCAAATACAGTAAGTAATTCTGAAAAGACGGATGATACTAGGAGTATTACCTGAATTTCTAGGAGGATCAAGGAGTACGGGTACGCGAACGCAATGTCGCCGATGGCCTGTGAGACGCGCCATACCTTGGCGACAGGGGTTTTCATTGGGACGCCCGTTATGCTCCCTTTGATGACGCCGTTAGCTGAAGAACAAGCGTGTCAATTTTGTGTCATTTTTCAACGTTTATACTGAGATCATCGACTAAGTAATCTGACTGGCTGTCCGGGTCTGGGAGATAAGCAGGGCGTAGTACTTACAGATGGTGCTGGCGAGGCCAAGGCCGAGGCCGATGAAGGCGTAGGAGAAAGACATGACCGCGGCGACGACGGAGAGCCACGCCATGTCGTGGAAGTCCGGGATGGAGGAGAGGAGGAGCTGCACCCCGCCGAACATGAGCATGTAGTAGCTGCCGTCGAAGCTGCAGGGCGCGTCGTGCCCGTGCGCGTGGTAGCAGTTGGCCTTCAGGATCGCCCTGCAGCATGCAAAACAATCGATCTGAGTTATGTATCTCTGCAAATCGAGCAGCAGCACGTACTAAACTACTAATAGCACAAAGGGAAGGCAAAATGATTCTAGTAATCCAATTAATCCACTTGATTCTTGCTTGCTCAACCGACGCTGCGATGCAACTGGTGATGACCGGCGAGGCGGCGGCTACCTGATGCTAGTGGCGGTGGTGAAGGTGTACGCGACGCTGCAGCCGTACAGGCTCAGGTACTGCAGCGAGCCGCAAGCCCAGGTCTGCTTCTTGCCTGAGCACGTTGCCAGAGTGATGCACCGATCAAATCACAGTACCACAGCACGGGCGAGCAGTAGCACATGCACATACAAGCTGAATAGCTTTGCATGCTTGAGTATATGTAGGTTGCTAAAGGATAGTACCGAGGTAGACGCGGACGGCGTCCATGTAAGAGCGGTTCCTGGGCCCCTTCTCGGCGTCCTGGCAGCGGTAGCAGTCGGAGAGGAGGGAGGCGGAGACGTAGGTGACGACGGCGAAGCACAGCATGCACGCCGGCCCGGCCACCCACCCCAGCTGCGCCACGCCCCAGGCCAGCGACAGCACCCCGGACCCGATCACCGCCGTGATGATGTGCGCCGCGCACGTCCACTCGGTCCCTGCAGCAGCACGGCACGGCACGGCAGGACACGCCGGTCGCCGGGCCGGCGGCAGCAGCAGCAGCAGCGTAAGCAAACGAAGAAGCAACCGCGCATCGCGTGTTAGGACTTAGGAGGAGGTGCGTGGCGCCATGCATACCGGTCCGGGGCGGGCTCCCGTCGTCGTCGCACCGGCCGTCGATCACCTGGAGGGAGTGCTGCACCGCCATTGCCCCGGCACCGCGCAGAGGCTCGCCCTAAGCCAAGCTTCGCGCCGCTTCCACGGGAAGAGACTGGAAGAATTAATGGGGTTCAGCCAAGAACCGCGGAGCTATACGGCGGCACACGACCGGAGCGATCGAGCACGTAGCGACTGTGGGTGCGTGGGTCCCGCGGGGACGTAGCGGGTAGGTTGCCCCTTTCTCAATCGGTTTTGACTGTCAGCTGGTTCGTGGCGAGCGGGTGGAGAAGGAGCTAGCGGAGACGAGACGGGAGTGAGACAGGCATCGCCATGCCGGTGAACCTCCGCGGACCAGTGCGTGCGTGAATCTTTGGTGCCGTCGCCGTCGCGATTCTGTCCGCTTCTTTTGGACGCGGATCCCGTAACTTTTTCCCTTGCCCGAATTAGTGAAGCTGGACCGCCGGAGATACGCAGGCCAGCTTGGGCGAGTGTCTGTGAATCTGGTGAGAGTATCTTCTCTATCGACCGAAATGTGACGGAAATGTGGATGCGGATATGATGAATCAAGGATCGCGGGATAAATTCCGGTGGATTCGGACCGGCGTAGTGATGGCATTTGGATCTGAAGATAATCAGGGGCTATGTTTAGCATGTGGGCTGCCAATGCACATGCATGCAGCCGGTTGGTCCATTGAACTGCACCTAGAGGTAGGGCCGTAAGGGTTAGGACTTAGGACCATACTAGTACAACATAGAAGGACGTTTCCGCGTGGGATGCTATGCTCGAGATTTGGCAGCAAATGACTGCCCATGCCCATCCCACAATCGTTTATGATCTTGTCTCCAATCTTTATAGGCAATGTGTCGATAATTATGCATGACCATGAAAATGCCACGGTGCTGTGTAAATGTTGAAGAATGCTTAAGAAAAATGGCTAAAGAGGCAATATAAATTGACACATGAGAGTATAAGTGATTGACAATAAATTTTCCGTGTCTGCCAAATGCTAGGCGTGACGGTCACTTTTTTCACAAAGCGCGAGGCTAAGGCCCTGTTTGGTTCAGCTTTTATCGATGGATTCCGCTGACGCACAGCAAAATCTGAATCAAAGGACGAACCCAGCAGAATCCGATTCCAGAAATTCGCTGCCAAAATCTGAACCAAAAGCGGAAGCAGCCCGGGACGTGCTTTCCAAAATCTGATTCCGCTGCGGGTCAAAATCTGAAAAAGTTGTATCAGCTGGTTTGCCAAATGACCTACATCTTTTCACATCAGATTTTCGACAGTTGTTTTTCCACAGCAGATTTTTCACAACTGCTTTTAGAAATCCACAGCCGAACCAAACAGGGCCTAAAGGTGAGGACGGCATGAGGAGCGCTGGCGCTAGCGAGGCCGAGCTGTGCATGGGTGGGAGTTGGCAGGAGCGAGTCAAAAACTTGACATGTGCGTGCGTGTGTGTGTGTATGGGTGGGGGAGAGGGGGGGTGGCCGGGGGCGACAGCTAGCACGACGTTGGGGGGAGGGCGGGACGATGTGGCCACGCGTGGCATCGCCCGCCGACCAAGGGGGCGGAGGCCAACGGGTGAACAAGAGGAGGAATAATATGAGTTTAAGAACGAAGAGTGCCTGATCTATTTCCAGCCGTTGAATCAAGACCTAGTGGTCCTCACAAAAGTGGCCGCTGCAAAAAAACGTTTTCAGATACTCTCTCCGTTTCGAATTACTCGTCGCAGAAATGGATGTATCTTCATTTCTCGGACAAGTAATTTGGAACGGAGAGAGTACCTAGCATATGGTAGTCCCTTAATTTTACGTATCTTACCCCAAAAAGAAAGCAAAGCCTCTCGACTTGATGCACCTAACTAATTTTTTATTGAAAATATACTTAGATATCAATACCGAACAACTTTACCAAATTGGTACCATTTCCATGGTCACTCGCTCGCAAGCGCCATACTCAGGAACGTGCTAGTGGTCAGTTGGTCACGAGGAGGCGTCACTCTTGGCCTGATCTGATAGAGTCCGAGTATTTGGACTTGCGGGGAGCCTACCGCCGCTGCTAGTGCAAGCTTGCAGATAGATATAGGAGTACATGCTGGGGTAGTACAGTAGCTTTCTCTCAACTTCTCTGTTGACTTGACGGTCCAATTGTAGTCGCTCGAGAAAACAACCCTTCCGGCAGAATTCGGCACGACATTCTCGCGCGTGCTAAGCACCAGATAGATCGTGACAACCCGGAGGCGACGAGTTGGCAATGGCATCCAGGGAGAACGGCCAGCACGCCAGTGCGGGGAGAGAACACTGATGTGTACGTTGATTTCAGTGTCATGGGCCAGGCATGCCCCCATTAGAAATTGTTGTAGAGCAGACATTTGGAAACGGGCTAGGCTACTACCGGCCCAATCCATAGTTGTTTAGTCGAGCCCACTTTGGGCCGGGAGATGACCCAATCCATACATGCTTGGATGGCCTGTTTTTCTCAAAAGAAAAAAAAAGCTGGGATGGCCCGATGGTCGAACTGTGTGGATAGGCCGGGGAAGAACAAACATCGGCCTTTGTGGGGAGCCTGGTAGGCGAACGGGACGGTTGAGATGAAAATAAAATATCAGGGCAGCAACCAAACACTCACTACAGGGTCTACAGCTGAACCACTCAAAAAAAGCTGAGCCACTCGCCCCTCTCGAAAAAGAAATTGAGCCAGTCACCCCCCCTCCAATTTTTTTTCTGAGCCACTCGCACTAAAAGAAAAGACGGCTGGGCCAGTCTTGACAAAAGGTGTAAAAAAAGTGTGCATGAAATGGAAGTAAGTAGTGTACCTGAAGCTGATGGAAGCGGTGATGGTGTAGGCAATGCCGTAGCCGAACAAGGCTGTTTGCTGCAAAAACTGGCAGACCCACGCGCTGTTGCTACCTGGCAAATAATACAGTATGATTTTTTTTTTCTTCCAGAAATGACCAGCCATTATTTTATTTTATTTTTTTGCGGGTCAATGACCAGCCATTAGGAACTAAACTTTTCACGCTAGGAGTAATAATATACAAATTCACAAACAAAAAGAGTAATAATATACAAAAGATCATAATGAAAGCGGAAACAGGGTTGCTAGTAGGTTCCGACTTCCAACAATGTTTTTATTATTTTTTTATTTTTTGAAACAATGCAAAAAGCTTGACAATTTCATTGAATAAGAAGATTTTTAGAGGTATTGGCCAAAGGCCGAAATACAAGACATCACTCTCAGTCTCGCACGGTATTACATTACACAAATATTTAACCCCGGCGAGGCACCACAAAGATGCTTCCTTTTTAATTCTAGCAACTATGACACCCATCATCGGAATCATGGTGTCGCGGAAGGCATACGCATTTCGCTCCTTCCAGATTTTCCATTAGATAAGCAACATAAGGGCATTTCCAACGCTAGCTCGCAAATTTGCTCCAGCATCTGTCCGCGGATAAGGGAGGACCAGTCCACAGACACTGATGCCGGATTCCAACATTCAACGTTGTCCGCATACATTTCAATAACCTTTTGACCTAACCAGACGACATTCGTGCAAACATGACAGATTTTATATAAACTAGACGACATTCATGCGAACACGACGAATTTTCATCATTACATTTTGAATATCTAGAAATAAAAGAAAAACGTATCGACCTGAACCTATCCTACGGCGGCCTCCGGTGTCCCAACACCTGTTGTTCCCTTCCTGGGACCGCGTCCTCCATCCTCGTCTCCATGAGCACCGGAGTCCGGAGATAAGACAGATGAAATGAAGTTGCGGTCTCCAGCAAGGAAGAGTAGACCATGAGAGACGGACCGACCCACATGGGACACAAGGCCCTGCCACCTCCTATGCCCTACTCATCCTCGAAGGAGTCTGTGCCTTGTTCGCTACTAGTGGACGTGAGGTCCACGATGGAAATGGTGGCGCCAACGCTCTCGTCGTCCCACCGGCCCGCCCGAAAGTTCGTCGGCGGCGCGTAGGAGGCGCAACTTGTGTTGTTCTTGTCCGTGATCGCCTGCAGTTGCGCCCCTGCGATGACCTGCTCCGGGCGAGTGGCGGCAGGCAACCTCGTATATCGCACGTTGCTTGCAACGAAGTTGGGGTTCGTCACAGCCTCCTAGCTCACGTGCTCGCCGTCAATTTGACACCCTTCCCACCAGCCGGGGCTGCTCTAGGAGGAACATGTTATACCGTTGTTCCTCCCACGCCTACCAGAATGCCAACATAGGCGCTGGCTCAACCTGCTCTTCCGCACTGGCGGCATTGAAGTGCGCATGCGCCTGCTCCATGGTGAAGCCGACATGCACATGCGCGTGATCCGGTGCGGTGTTATGAGAGCCCGTCTCCATCGTGGTGTTGTCCTCGTTGTCGGAGACCTCGGGCGAGCTGGCCGGCATGCCAGCCTCGACCCGCCTGGCACGACGGCTCTAGCAAGTGGCCAGCGTGCTTCATTCCGTTGAAAGGCTCTCCCACAGAGCGTTGCCGCCTGCAGTCATGACGAATGTGGTGCAAGGAAGAAGGACGTGGAGCGGTGCATCAATGCATGATGCCGAAGTGGGTTTCTCGACTAGCGAGCCTGCTTCATGGCGGCATACGGACAAACGGGGCATTGAACAGGCATGGTAGATATATGTCCCGTCCCGTCCAGTAACACGTTTCCAGCATTGAACAAACATAGACACTAGGGACGCACCCTCGGCCGGTGTGCGGCTTCAATGCTGGAGCCAGTGAGAGGTCTAGTCCGCTCTGGGCCAACTTCAATGTGGAGCGGCCGCTCTGCAGAGGCATGAAAGCGGGTAGCTAGCGACGGGTGGGAATGTGCGCGCGCGAGGGAGGATGGTTTTGGATGGGTCAGGGTGGTCAGAAGCGGGTATGGCTACAGTTCGGACGGCCGTGAAGCCCCCTAGTTTGTCTTCGATTTGTGAAAAAGTTTCGTCCGAACGATTTGAGGGCTAGCGTTGGAGATGCCTCAATAAAAACACACACCCTTCGAAGTTGCGACATCATGAACATCGCTGCTCCACCACTGCTTCACGGAAACCATACCTCCCCACTCTGTTGGGTGTACATCGTGCAAGCCAAGCTAGGCTTTAATCATGCCCCCAAACTCTCACGGTGTAGCCACGTTGAAAAAGAAGGTGGGCCGCCGACTTTTGGACCCGCTTGCCCCAAACTTCCAACAATGTTGGCACATCCGTATCGCTTCATTATGGACGAAGCACGTTTGGTCCACCCCCAAAAAAAAAGAAGAAGCACGTTTGGTCCGGCGGAAGAATCCACAGGGGTTACGGATTAGGGTCACAAATCAAACAGCCACGCCACGCCCACGCGGCAGCTGCACATTGGCTGTAACTTGTAAGACTTGTCTCATGCCTTCCGAGCTCAAACGGACCACCACCCCCTTCCCGTTGTTGCTTGACAGTCCCGCTAGCCATAGCCAGCTGTCCTGCTCTGCAGTCCCAAACACGAACCCGTGCACTGCGACCAGTTATATTAAAGAAATTAGTGGTCTCTAATCAGCGGGGCAGTTTGATTAGGAACGTGCCCCCAAGCCGTTTGCGCGCTCTTTTGACGAGCTCCACACAATGCCTGGTCCAGCCGCGAGATTCACGAGCCTTCTTCGATCGATCTCTTGCTCCAGTGGTGCTCGTCTCCGCTCCTGTGTCTCTCAGAGTTTGTGTTTCCTTCGCTCCGGTTACACACCAGAAGCAATAATGTGATGAAGATTGCAAGGTACAGAAGCACCATGGGCGACAGAGACATCAATGGAAAGGATAGGTAAGGAAGACAAGAAGAACA